TCATAACCTGACACCTTCTTACTACTATTGACTCGTGTATATAATCATCTAGTCCGGTTCGCATGTAAATTCATCATGCAAGGAACCAAGGGAGTTTTAGGTCTAAAGTGCTACGGGGGTCCTTATATCCAATTCAATCACAAGAATTGCTATGCACCACCAGAAAATCCTCACTTTTGCTTTTCAGCTTAATCAAAACCAAATTACCCCAATAAGCTGCAGTATTACTAGCAAAAACACACTGAGGAGGTACCCTCAACTCACACCCCAACCCAACCAACACACCCTAACTCACACCCACTCACACCCCATACTCACACCCCAACTCACACCCCAACTCACACCAACTCACACCCCAACTCACTTACTTGTACAAGACCTAACTTAGTTTAAAGCTACAGATACTCTAGCCTTCTAGAGCCTCAACCACCTACTTAGCTTGCTCATTGGCCCATCTCTTTCTAGTGAGCTCCCCTTTGTACTCAGGAGATAAGCTAACAAGGCACTTGACTGCACAGTGATACTGCCATACTGTTTTCCAAGTATGGCTTGGCTCTTGCTTGAATTTGTGACGGAATCTTGGCTCATCATGCAAGATCCTCTTGTTGCAGCCATGACATCTTGGATAGGTTCCTGCCCGTTGTTGCAACTTGAAGGACCACCCTGTTGGAATTCTATCTTTAATTTGCTTTTGTTCGGTTGTCACGGCTTCAGATGGGGTATCCATGGTTGTTGGAACACCTTGCTTTTTCTCCTTTGATCTTTGACCATGCTTATTGTTGTTCCTTTTTCCTCTTTTCTTCTTAGTTGACTTGGTTTTTGATGTCAATTTCAGCAAAGATTCTTTGATCTCAGCTGCTGAAACCATTGGAGTTGAAGGATATTCTACAACAGAAGGGACTGAGCCTTGCTCGCTGGCATCATCAGACTGTTGGTCTTCTTCAGCAGCTGCATTACTGGTGGCGTCAGCAACAGGAGTGCAAACCATATCAATGCAATGCTTTGGACCATCATACTTCATTACAGAGTCAATGTCAAAATGTTGATTGCCGGCTCTCCATCCAACCCCAATGTTATCAACCAGTTCATAGAATATAAGGCTGATTGTCATGTCAGACATGACATCTCTCCAATCATCTAAAGAGAAACATTTGATTTTGGTTGGGCCAGTAAACTGCCCATCCTCAACCATCCATCCATAGGGGAAGTATGCAGCACTTGCAAAGTGCATACCATTGCCCATAATACAACCTCGTAGAATCAATGTTTTGTTGTGTTGAGTCCATTCCACAGAAGACTTGAGTTGATTGATCTTGACACTGTTGCTCTGACTTTGACCAGACATCCCATAATCAATAACAACCATGTGAGGATATTTGGCCATGGTCACAGTTGTTTTTACTTTGCCCTGGCAGTGTCTTGTGACATCATCATTTCAAATGCTAGCATCAGAATAGCTGTTGTTGCCAGCACTATCCTTTTGGGGGGTGTCTTCCACAGTTATAGCTCCAGGATGTGATGCATCACACTCAGCCACTGCACTCTCAGTGAAATTGAAATCCAACATTGCCACAATCTCAGCTGAACCCAAATGAAAAGTCTCAGTATCTAACTTGACACAATTGGGTGATATCTTGGCACAAGTAAGTAGTTTGTTGTTTTTTCTGGCTCTTGGGACAGTACTGCGATGTCCCCCCTTGTCATGTCTTCTGGTGCAGTTGATCTCCAAAAGCTACAAGACTCCTGATTCATGATACTCACAAAGCCCATGAATGTCTGTAAAACACAAAGCATTGCCTTCTCGATCATTCTGCCTTGGCCAACTCACGCTTGTATGCAGCAAACTACCATCAAGTGATGAGCCTCCTATCCCTCCGGTTCGCTCCGAATCTGACGTTGGATGTACCCCTGGGGAGGTGGCTCGTCTCTGCTGACAAGCTCCGGATGCGCCACAGGTTCTTCTACGAATTCGATGCCAACGTCGTATAACAACAAGTTGACAACTCGAGAGTCCGAATTCTGGATTTTCCAACATCCAGTCCCGAAAAAGGAACGGAAAGTTCATCGTTGGGAGTTTGGAGATGAGAACTACCTGGACACCAGCATCCTACACAACTCGGTGCCACTGGCCCCCCACTTCCCCCGATCCTGCACATATGTCCAGCCAGACTCTGGAAAGCGGCCAGTCCTAGACCTGACCCTAATCAACAAGCATGAGACAGTGGTCAGTTCCCGACGTAGTGGTTTCACAGCAGGCATTCTTGCTCGTCCACTACCACCCTCACCGACAACATTTGAGTATTTCCTTGCCACCTTGGCGCCTTGGGAAACAGCCCTCTATGACGAGCTTGAGTTGATGGTGGACGCCTACTCAGTCTTGCAGATTGTCACAGCCAAGCCCTTCTGGGTGGCCAGCGATGGCGCTGCAGACATTGAAGCCGGCAAGGCGAGTTTTGCAATGGGTCCTGCAGGCACAACCGCGCGCCAAACTCTGATGCTTCGGCTGCTCTGGTCCAGTTTTTGGTATGTTTCCGACTTCATACAGGGCTGATGCCTATGGCATTCTATCCTCTACTTTCCTTCTTCGACGTTTGCTGGTGTTCTACGATCAGACCAGAATGAAGAATTATGTACCCTTATGCGACAATGAGTCTTTGACGAACAAATGCGCTAGCTTTCTCGAGTACGAGGGCTGGCACCCCAATGATTCGTTGACCTCCGACTGGGATGTCTTGCAGCAGATCGAGGACTCGTTCCGGGCTGCAGTCACTGTGCCCAAGATGAAGCACATCAAATCGCACCAGGACAAGCACCAGGCCATCGCAAACCATACCCCCTAAACCACAACTGACATTGCAGCGCTGACAAAACTGGCACAGACAATATATAATGACCAGACACCACTCCAACACGGATTTCACTCCAAGGCTACCTCAGGATTTCCGGCAAACTGGCACAAGCTGACCTTCCCAAAGGCCACCCATGCACATACACAGCCTCCCCAGAACACTGCCCGCATTCTCAGGACCCACGCACCCAGCCCCTCCGTTCACCACCATCTGTCAACCTGCCAAATCCCCGACCTAGGGAACCACCGACGACCCCACCCCCTGCACTGCAATTGATTGGACAGCCCCTCCCCCCATGGCTCGAACGCTTCAACCGTCATGACCATCCACAAACCGCACAATTTCGTGCAAGCTTTCTATCCTCATTGCTTGCCCAGTTGGCAACGCGCTCCCCTCCCCTCCACCGGCGCGACTGACCCCAAGCATGATCACCACTGTCCCCCTTGTGGCGGTGATCACGAAACTGAAACCCATGTTTACAGATGCACGCATGTTGACGTGGACTTAAGGCGAGGGACCATGCAACGAGCAATCCAGCCACAAGGTCTCTCGACGCTAAGCCATTTCACAGACCCCTTCCTCCTAGGAATTGTTCTTGATTGGCTTCAATACCACTTTGAAGATAGATTCCTCCACCCATGGCCCTACCCTGACAGGTACAGGTACCTCGTTGACACTCAAAAACTAATTGGTTGGGACAACTTCCTGCGAGGACGTTTGTCCACGCATTGGGCTAAGCATCAAGATTCATATCTGCATCGGGTCGTCTCCCATGAGACAACCAAGACAGGGCAGCCATGGGTCACCAACCTCCACGACCTAGCCTCACTGCTCACCCAGCCGTGGTGGAACCTGTGGGAAGATCACGCCCCCCACATGCTGCCCACGCACTGGCCAAAGACAGGGCCGATAGACAGTGGCAGACAGAAGCCCGAAACACCTCAGCCGAGGGTGCAACTCATTTCACGAGAAAAGCCGGCAATGTCCTAAGATCCAGTGAAGCGGGTGCGACTTTATCTTTCAACCCCGGACTCCACCCTTAACGCATCAAAGCAAAGGCCCAAGCAAGCGCAGTGGACTTTCTACCCATTGGGCCCCCCGCACCCCCCTGCCGTCCGCTCGACAAGGCACTTCCAGGGCACGAGCCACTGCCGCACAATGCGAAACAATCACCATAGCCCCCCCCCCCCCCCCCCACCCAACGCTGGTAACTCGCACAGAACGGCGTCCTTCCGCCGTAGAAATAGATGGCAATCCAGCCAAGGGTAGATAGTTAGCTGCAAAGCACCCTCCGGAGTTTTTAAACTTCTCCCCGGTCGGGGCTTCTGCACTGGGCTTGCACTAGGCCGGTTCCTATGTGGGCGTCTTTGTACGTCTGAGGTACTCCGGTTCAATATGGCTCCGTTCAGCGGGTGGTCTATTGAGGTGCAGCCTAAATAATAAAACTTCGTTATTCTCTTAAATACATCAAGTGATGTCCAGAGGTTGATTGTACCATATCCATCAATCACCAAGTTGTTGTGATTATAGAATTCAGCCAGTATGAGTTGTCTTACAGCTGCCGTGCTGGCTTGTGTCCCTAGATCATCCATCAACTGAAACACTCTACTGACCAATGAGTCTGGATCTGACAGTTCTGCATATGGCTTCAAATTGACCTGACATCTATGCAACTTGTAGAGCAGGCCCAAAATAGCATCAAGGGGACATGTGTTGGTGACTCCACGTCCTCCCCACCGCAAGCCACAGTAGAGAGGAAGCACATCTGAAAGATCAAGCTCATCATATAGCTTTTTTATGTCATCTTGGCTGGGAGGATTTAAGAGCACTGGCCGTGGATCAGCTTGTTTCCTAGGCTTTTTCAGAAGTGTTTCACCTGGCCGTTGAAAGTGCTTTCCATACCAGAAGGGACAATAGCTTTGTTGCGACACACATGATTGACACCACGTAGGAAATGAACACGGCAACTGCGGTAGGTAGATTGTATTTCGGTGTCCGTGAGTTTTACTCCATATTCATTGTGGGCAAATGCCTTTAAAGCATTGTCATAAGCTTTGAACAGAGCTTGGGAATAGTCGCATGCTGTGCCGACAAAAGCATCCAAAAAGGCATCCCAACTGTCGACGTTTGTTGAGCAAGATTCAAACAGCTTATACCAATGCATTGAAAAGTGAGCAGCAGTTCTTTCGAATGTGATTGACATCAATACTGGCACCATCTAAGAAGCGCATAATGGGGTCTCGCGAAAACAGCGAGGTCTGGAAGGTACCGAACGACATGCGTCCCTAGGCGATTGGTGACGTCATTGCTCCCGGATTTGGATGGTGTTTGTTGTGGAACATGTACTGGGTTCTCCATTGGGTGTGGCAGTATGCACCGTTTTGGAACCCTGCATGCATCCTAAATTCCAACCCCATAGGTACCGACCAATTTTGTGGTCCCGTTTTGTCCCTTATGCCATACCAATGAACATGAAACTACATACAGAATCCGGTACAGAGCGGTTTGGGGGTTAGCTTTTGGTAACCACACTCACAATTTGTTTTGTAAGTTCGTGTAGACTTTGCCTAAGGTATTACAGTTCCTTTATACGGGCTAGCGATCTGCAATTACTACTAGCTAGCTCCTACTACTAGTTGTATCATGGGTTTTTGGTATTGCGACTACTGTAAAGCTTGGTTTAAAAGCAAGAGGGCACTAAGTGCTCACACCAACCAATCTTGGAGTTGCATTGCAGCAAGGCAGAATTCACTTGGCATTGGCAAAGCAACAAGAAGTACTAGTACTAGGAGAAAAGGGGACATGACTACTGCAGGGCTTTGTGCCACTGGACACTGAAAGACCCGCTAAAGCACCAAGGCAAGTTAGAAGATCTGCAGAAGAGGAGAGAGGCACATCAAGTCAAATGCCAGCAATTCCACAAGACATGGTGGAGGAAGATCAAATTGCTTGGGCCATGCAAGATGGTGTTGGTATTGGTTCTGAAAGCGAGTAAGACAATAGAAAACCAGAAGCTGACCCGTGGTTTGGTATCCAAGATGACGGCAATGAGGAAGCAAAAGAGGAGGCAGATGAGGAAGCCATAGAGGCAACTGATGAGGAAAGAAGTGACGACGATTCGCAAAAAGACACAGATGATGATGAAAGTAATGAAAGATGATGATGAGAACAGCAGTGGTGGATCAAAAGCTACCATGGTACAAATTCCAAAGGAATGGAACCATGACAATGAACCTCCAGACGATAGGAACATCAACCCATTCCGGCAATATTGTGCAGATTCAAAGAAGACGTTACTCCCATTGGATAAGAAACAGGCTCGGGGTGTCAAATTGATGAATATCCTTCGAAAGAACAAGGCGCCTTTTACTGCGTATGATGATGTGTTGACATGGCACTTGGGTGAAACTGGAGCCCGATTGTGTGACGAGAAGCTTGGTGAGGTTCCGGAGTACTTGAGCCGGAAAAGTTGATGAGCTTCCTCATGACAAGATACAACATTGGTGGCAAATTCCCTTTCTCAAAAGACCTTGTG